CCACCAGAATCGCAGAGAGGGTCGCCGATTACCCGTAGTGGTCAACTTTCACGGAGGCGGTTTCACACTGGGATGTCCCACCGACGATTCCCGCTGGGCCCAATGCATCCTCGAGGAGGTCGGAGCAGTGGTAGTCAGCGTCGGGTACCGTCGAAGTCCAGAGCATCCGTTCCCCGCTGCTGTGGATGACGGTGTGGAAGCACTCCAATATCTGGCCGCCCATGCCGCCGAACTGGGGTTGGATGTGACCCGAATTGCTCTGAGTGGCTTCTCGGCGGGCGGCAATCTAGCTGTCACTGTGCCTCTAAGGCTGCGAAGCCTGATGGCCAAGGAGCAGCGGGATCCCCCGCTCGATCGGGCGAATTCGACGCAGCAGCTTCTGGATACATCTGGCGACATTAGCATTGTCGCTCTCTTCTGCTGGTACCCGATCCTGGACTTTGAGGAGTCGCGTGCCTTCCGCCGCGCCGCGAGCATCATGCCAGAACAGACGCTTCCGAAGTTCCTGACGGATCTTTTCGATAACGCCTACCTGCCGAATCATGAACTCCGTTGCTCGCCCTACGCATCACCGGTCCGAGCGACAGATGAGATTCTGAGGGATGCTCTACCCCACGATATCTTTCTGTACATCTGCGAATGGGACATGCTGATGAACGAGGGCCAGCAGTTCATGCGGCGACTGAAAGATTCCGGCAAACACGTTCGGGCTATGATGATTGAAAAAGCCCGGCATGCCTGGGATAAGTCGCCGAATCCCTTCCGGGATCAAGCCAAAGTCAATGTTCTCTATAGCGATGCCTGTGCGGACATGAAAGCCATCTTTAATAGATAAGACTCTGCGATACAGAATCAGTATCTATACATCCCGTCTATTCCTTCCTTTCCTTTCCATCACCCTTCCTTTTTTCTTAAAGTCACTTACTCGAGCGTTTTGTCCATCGTTATACGGAGCCATGGAAAGGGAAAATGGCGGTGCTCCTGACACGGTCTCCAATCTATCGGTTTTAGGCGTTATAGATGTACAGTATCCTCTAACAATATGTTACACTAACAAATGACTATCTTTGAATGACAGCATGCTATCCTTACGAACCAGTACCTAGGCATTATCAGGAAGGTAGACGTCCTCCAAGTACGGGTCCTGGTCCTTTGTAGATCCCAGCATCGGCACTCCCCGCCGACCAACCACAATTTTCTTTCTCGTCCATGATAATAACGCCATTTCCCTGTATGACAGGTTCTCATCCCAGCCGTTGAAGCTTATGTTCGCGTGTCTGGTATCAGGTCTCGGCTGCCAGCATACTACCTATGACATCATTCTTGAGTATCTCAGATACCTCTCTGCCGAGGTCCACGATACGAGCCTTCGTGCATTCAATGGGTGTACCAAGGTCTATCTACATGTGGTCAATGCACTCTCAGACTTCTAGGTCGGGTTGATCTAGACAGTAGTGATTAAATCAGGTTTATAGAGGTAGATGCAGGGGAAATAGTAAGGTAGAGGAATGTAGCAGCTGCATTCTCTGAGGTTGCCATGTGGCAAACAGATGATGTCTAAAAGTCTACAGGATACTTGCATTTGTTCATATTTATTTTTGAATGTTTAATTCCATTTAGATAGCTGCCGGTACATTCACATCATAGCGCCATATCGAGTCAAAATGCCAGCGTAGTAAACACCAAGGAACAGAAACATGGCTGATATCCGAACAAGATACCAAACGAGATCACACCCATACGCCACGCTAACCAGCCATGCATGATGGTGAAGAAATAGATAAAATCACTTTTTCTGCTTTTTTGATCAAACTCGTCCAGAGACGGCTGGAGATGCAAGAAATGATAAAGACGCTGTGGGGTATTGAGCATGAATAGAAAAATCGAACGAGGCTTTTTGTTTCAAAATATTCAGTCATCTTCATCGGTCCCAGTGACATCGCTTAGGTCTCCTTCTGAGTCGCTCCCGTCGAGGTCATTGTCCGAGTCGCCTTCGTCCTGGTCGTCCATCCCAGGAATACCGCGCCAGTGGACGTAGTCATTCTCCAGCCAACGGCGGCTGCGAGGCAGCTGGTATGGATCAAAGGGGAAATAGGCATCAAGCTGATAACCGAGATCATCGCCGGCACGAGTTTCTCGCTCGACAAGGCTGAAGCGCGGATCTGCCATGGCTGAGATGCTCCGGAAAGATGAGACGCGCAGTCTCTTGTTCGTCTCGAGGATGCTGAACACGTACATGAAGTTGAGGTGCTGGGCCATACGTGCGAATTCAGACACAATCGCAGGCGAGCAGACCTTGAGGGGGTTCAGTTTTGAATGGATCGCTTGGTGGAGGACCTCCTTGACCGATGGAGGGAAGGTGATTTCTTCTGGCTCCAGTTCATCAATCTGTTCAGGGGTGTCGCCCTCCATCGCTGCGGTCGTCAGGTCTCGCCAGCGGAAGCAGAAGATATACAGCAACGCCTGTGCCGTAGAGTAAAAAGGGCCGTAGCGGCGGAGATCAGGGCCCCGACAGGTGGCCTCATAGTCAAGACGGAGGTTGTTCAAATGTGTGCCTAGGAGGTCAAAGACATCTCTTACTACCTCGCCAGAGATGTGCGCACCGCGGGCAACGAAGCTGGCGAGGTAGGCTGCTGCGGACTGCCGTAGGATTCCAGGTTGCATCTTGTTGAAGATGAGCTGAACACAGGTGGCAGCAAATCGATCCACCAGAATCGGCGACGATTGAGAGAAGTGAAAGAGGAGGAATTGAGAGTGGCGGGAGCGGTAAGTCGGAAGGATAATACTCTGGAAATGGCTAAGAAGTAAATCAAGCGCATTTTCCTTGTCATCCAGAGTGCCCGTTGCGAAAGGCGGGGCGTAGTATTCAAAGAGCGAGTCGATCATGCCATCCAGTTTGAGTATGTTATCCTTGACGGCCTTGACTCGCCGGGACTCCACGTCTAGGGAATCATCACTAGCGACGGATGCATTGTCGTCAACTTCATCCTCGTTATCCTCCAACATCGTGGCTTCAGGCGAGACTGCGTGAAGAACATCCTCGCCCACTTCGTCCTCGATGTCTTCCATATCTACCTGAATCTGGACATCGATCTTCACGACTTTCTCCGTGATGAGAGCTAGAATGTCCGCTTGGAGCTCGGGAGCGTAACTGATGACCTTTAGGAGATTCCGCGTGTACGCAATGTTGGCCTTTGCGGAATCGGTATCGAAGGGAAACTGCATAGACAAGATTGGGGATAGGGTCCCACTACCAGACGGAATCAACTGCATCACATGACGTAGAGCCATGTGAGCTCTGCTATAGATCTCTGCTGCTTGGACAGGGGCGTATCCAGGTAGCTTGCCTGTCCCCTTTGGGAGCTCCCCAAAATTGTTGGCCAGCATCTTCAAGACCGCCCCGAGATAGCTTCCCTGAGCCGCCGCAAGGTTACCTAGAAATCGAATGTACAACTTGATATACGACTCATCCCGCCCGAGCCATTCACTGTGCAGAACTGCATTGACCAAGCCGTTGCAATTGCGGTCCAGCGACGCAACGTTCGACAGAAGACCCATGAGATGATGCTTCAATGTAGTGTGTGTCGGTAAATCTTCGGAAGGCAGGCCATCTTCGTCCAGACGCCGAGGATCTGCTGAGAAAATCTCCTTGATGCGATCGTAGGCTTCGCTGTCCGTTCCAGAGACATGCCGCTGGATAGCTCTGCGCACTTCTTCACGAACCACGGCCGCGCTCTTCTCTGTACTCACGGCTGTTTCCTTCTCCTGACTATTCCAGGACGCCTCTCGCATTTCCACCTCCTTATCAAATTGAACCCGAACCCGCTTCCTGGGACTGGGCGTGCCATCACTGCCGTCGGAAGCAACAGAGGACGAGGGTGACAGCGAAAGATCCATGTCGGCCAACTTGTGTTTAGCCCCGGCAGCTGCCGCAATGTTCGTCTTGGAATTTTTCAAAATGGGCACTGGCGAAAGGTTGGCCAGCATTTTGGGAGGGTTGACTGATTTGATCGCCCCGGTAGGGTTGCGCGCAGCAGTGGCGAAGGAGACCATGACAGTCTCGAGTCTATCGGGAAGAAGGTTGGGGTGAGGTTGGTCGACGCGAATCCCAGCGTCGTGTCATTTGTTGCTCTCGTCTTCGAAGACAAGAGGGGAAAAGATCTTAGTGGAAATCTCCTGACTCCTGAGAACTATTCAGGTTGATGATGCTGATGGAAAAACCAGAGCACACGACACGGCCAGTGCGTGTTACCACTCTGGAGTGCTACTGAAATTAATAATGGGCGCGCTGGGGGAAAGCTGACGTTGAAGGCAGCTTCATCTGTCTGCCTGATAAATAGCAATCTGAAATGATGTAGTAAGACTGCTATATGCGGACAGGCAATGAAGATTGAGAGCCGCCCTGAAAAACGACGAAGATGGTTGAGACCAGCGGAGAATTGTACACTACTGGAAATTTTTCGTTCTGTGGGGCGGTGTGGAGTCAGAGGCCCTCTGACTCGTGACCCGCGCGTGACCAACGCGTGACCCAAGCTTCTTTGTCGCGAAACCCTACGCTTTCCCTGCTTAGGTAACATGTCGTTATCTGCTCTTGATAATATTCAGGTTACACCTGTTACACCTGCATACAGATCGATGAGACAGGTCATAATGATTTCTGAAACTACAGGATGATGTCATGGACATGGTAGTAGGAATGAATTGCATCAGAGTTACATTGTTCATCACATGTCCTTTTTGTGGCAGATCCACAAACCTATGCGGAAACAAATGACTGCAGTGAGGTCAATAATATTTACATACAACGCGAGAAGATGGAAACCACCTCATGGTATATAGCGGGCAAAACAAGAAGGGGTTGAAATAGACAAACAGAAACACATGGCACACGTAACGAGTGAATAAGGTAGGTCGTAACACAAGTCGGAATTGACAAGGGAAGGAAATTCCAGTTCTCCTTCTCAGGTTCGAATTACGGGAGTCGAGGATATCCGAGAACCTCAAAGCCAAGACCCAGTGGCGACTGGCCCGAGATGATCGTCGAAGATGCTCCCATAGAGTTCCTCTATCTCAACAAGATAGTCGTTCGCTGTAAATTTCCTCAGTCCCTTGTTGAGCAAGACCATCTCCTCCTCATCGAGCACGCGAGTAGCGCTGCTGTTGAACTCCTCTGCCACTTCATTGACCTGCTCCAACTCCTTCCCGAACGGATGGGGCTCGGGTTTGAAGAAATCTTGAGTCGTTCGGATGGAGGGGCTGTTGCGCATGGAGTTCAATGGTGGCGGAGACAACCGTGACAAGGAACGCTGGCGAGCCAACTCTTGGTGAGATCGTTTCGTATGCGATAGAGCGCGTTTGGGCACCAAGGGTGCATCTGTCGACGAGGTGGTCGAGGTTGACGACCGAGGATGGCTAGTCACTGTTGCAGATCGCTTCGGAAAATATGACGACAAGGAGTTCGGCTCAATCGGTGAATCGTCTGGAGTTGTGACGGGAGAGCCAAAGCTTCGCTGAGAGAAAGACAGCTCGGAGTCGTCGGGAGACTGCAGTGAAGAGGAAGATGACGAAGAGACAGCCGAGTGGATATCGGGCGCATTGTAGGCCAACATGTTCGTTGTGGAGATTAACTCGACCGGTCCAGAAATCTTTCCCCGCTTGATGGTCCCCGCGGTGAACTTGACCTGACCTTCGCGATAGGGCATTGGCGCAGAGACCTCGGGACGCTTGTGGCGCTTGGTAAAGGCTCGAGTTATGGTCGACATTGTGATTTGCAATCAAATTGGCGATGGATTCTTGTCGCAATGATGTGTATAGATCGGCTGTAGAAATTTCGCTCCCGTAATCAGATATCCTTTGTCGTTCGTACACAATAAAATCTTCTTCAATCTAGGACTTCTAAACGCTATAGTTGCGCACGTCAAATTGGCTTCAAAAGAATGCGTGGCTGACGCTGACGATCGCCGGTGGGGTGTCAAAGAAGGAATGGAAGTCGATCGACGGAATGTCCGCTATCAGATATGAGTGGTAGAAGCTTGTCGTTTCAAGCTTCTACTGTATGCTCTTCGAGAGAGACGAGAATGAATTTAGAGACCGGATATCCTCGTATCTGTTTGCACAGCAAAAGAAAATGGGATGGTTGGATCTCTCGTCTCCAGAGCCAGACCGTCTTTAAGTGACTCAAGGGGGGTCACAAGAATGCTGCAGCCAGACTGTACAGTGTACAGTGAAAATCAGAGGCGGACAACCAGGACGCGCCACTGAGAGATTTGAAAAAGGAAGGGAAATTCCAGAGATACCGAGATCTAGGGAAGAAGAAAAAAGACCATCAATGGATATAGAAAAGAAGAGAATAATATAACATGGAAATAATATGAAGAAGGATAGTCCCCCAGGGAGGAGTGGTCAGAAGGGAGTGAAGAGGGAGGGAATGGAGGAGGAGAAGAAGAAGGAGAAAAGGGAAAGCCCCGAGGGAGACCCAATGCCAGCGGAGGCGAGTGAACAAAGTATGGGATAGAATGGTTCTGGGCTGTTCGGTCGGAGGATCCAGTCCAGTGACGACGCCAGCCAGTGTACGGAGGACCCTAAAACGACTCCCTTCAGGCACTCTGGCTGTTGGCCTCAGGATTGGCTGTCCAGATTTTCAGCCTGTACCTTACGGGTGGATCTTCTCTTCAAAGTTTCCAGAGCCCACAGCACAAACCATGGAGGCAAGTACCTTACCTTAGCCAACAGCCACTGCGCCAACTGTAAGAGTATCCAGCGTTTACCCTTGGGCTCTACGCAGTTTGTTCGATGAAATTCTCTTGACGGCTGGCTGGGTTCACTGGATAGCTAAGAATAGTGATAGGAAGGAAATATTTGCCTTTGTGTTTTGCCCAGTGCGGTATTTTGTTCTCTTGGTTCTTCCTATGGTGAGATCAGCACGAATAGTGGTTCTCACAGTGTCTGGTACCATGGAACCTGGGCTTCCAGATGCTCAGGATCATTTAGTTATACAATCCTAATTCTTCATCTTCTCAGGTATCTATAAGTGAAGGTGAATTGATTATTCTCCGGTACTCCGACGGATTGGCTCTACGAGTCAGTCTGTGGTCCCTCGAATCGTTGGCGGTTTCGACGCGCTAAACCGCACACTACAATTCGATGTGTCCGAGAAAGCAGAGGATTGATCGTTTTGTCTGCTACACTTGCTACGCAGTCACATTTACATTAATAATTTACGTGGAAGAGGATTCGAATTCCCGGTCACAAAAGATCAGTCTCTCATCTGCAGGAAAGTGGTACCTTGAATTCCAACTCTAAGATGACACGGTAGTTAGGCTTTGCAGTAGTAACATTTTCCTATTTCCCCTCAGGCGACGCCAAATGCCTAATGCTGTCTTCATTATCAGTTGCTACTTGGATTTATGTTCCTTGCATGGTTGTCGTCCTTCCTATGAACAACGGAGCGGCCAGTAACATCGTATGATCGAATCCTGAATACTACAGTGCCTTAGTCTGCTGGCCTAGTCAAAAGTTCAAGCAACGGTGTTGGCCTGGCGCCAGGAACCACCACACGACAGCCTGTAAGAAGGGCCATGTGCCGCCCCCTCGACCGCTGACCAGTCAAGATGAAACAATCCTGCCGGGTGACTTGTCTCATGCTGACAACTCTGTTCTCGACTGTGACGTATGACAATTGACTGATGGCATTCTGCAGCTCTTTGATTCTTTCACAATCTTAAGCTTCTCTAGGTTGACCCTTGCTGAATGGGCTGCACAGAATCAAAGTCATCTGAGGGAATCACTCATCCAAGGCCCTCATCTCAGTGACCAGGCGGATCTAAACGACGGGTCAATCGGATATGGTGGGTCTGCCCCACTGTGGGAAAAACTTAGCAGAGCGCCCCTTCGCTCGAGGCTTGCTGTCCTCGGTCAGTGCGCTGTAGATAGCACATTGCATGAACATGGCTACTGTTTTCGTGGATTAGACTCGATTTCAAGTCAAAGTTCTTATGTAGACTGGGTTGCCTGGAGCATTCTGGACAACAAAAAGTTACTGAAGTAAGAAGTGGACGAGGAAGAAGAATGATGGTCTTGTCCCTTGCATGTGATACATGCAATCTTTAATTGCTGAGGCCGGTAATTGTGATCCCACACCCATGTGGCTGGCAGACCAACTGGCACAGTACCTAGTCAGTCCTGTCCTTGAGATCATTCAGCGCCGCCAGCTGCCCTTGAGCCTGAATTCTTGGGTCGAAACCCATTCAGAACTGAGGCCTTCAGCGATGAACTGTCGTGTATAATCCTAGTCATGCTTTCATCATTTGGGGATGATCACACACGCCGTCACCAATGCCCCATTGTCCAAAGAGGACATAACGCTCCTTGAGTTCAACAAAAGTTGTTCACCTCCATTTTCTAAGGCAGTCAGAGGGAGGGTTCCAATGTATGTACGGTATCTCTCGCCGCATAGGCTGATGGTTCGCTTCCCTTACAGATAAAGGCATGTACATCGTCCGCTAAATGTAACCCTTCGGCCCCTCTCATTCACACAAACTGTCTGATACAGAAAAATATTCAAGTGGTCAGGAATTCGTGGGAAACTCTTTTTCCATTGGCTGTTCCTACATAGTCCTCATAAGCTCGACAGCAGGACTCGTTGCATCAGATGAAATCACCTGATCAATCTGGACACCGCCGTCCAGTCTGCACATTCTAAATCATCCCATTGTTTAAGAGGCTATATCCTTGAGTCCGAGAGGTCAACGAAAAGTAATATAATAATGAACTCTGTAGCCTGTCAACTTTGTGGTTGACCAGAGAGTCAAACAGCCCCAATCCATGCGAAGGTTCAACAGGTGACTAGTCAGTTTCCTAGGTCACAAATATACCATATATCATAAAGAAGCAAGCAGATTGACGGTAGTTAGGACGCAGAGAATCTGTAAGTAGACTCCCAGGTACTTGCTGTGTTAACGCCAGTTGGTGCCTCAGTACCGTAGTTGTAACTTGTATGTAGCTGCCTATCGCTATCGCCGAGCACTGACCACATCTAAAGCACTCACAGCTTCCGCCCGGCAGAAAAACAGAGACTGTCCAAAAAGATTCGGATCAGGTAGAACGTAGTCAGATCTCGCTCGCAAAATCACCATCATATCACCGCTCTTTCCCGTGTTTAGAGACTTATTGACCTCTCATTCAAAATGAGGGCCAAACGCTCCAAGAAATATCGCAAGCTCATGCATCAGTATGAGATGGCATTTGGCTTCCGCGAACCATATCAAGTCTTGGGTATTACATCTTCGCAAGGACGCATTGCTGCGTTTAAATGGTCTTCAATACTAACACTTGAATCTTTCCAGTTGACTCGAATTTCCTTCGCGCTGTCCACTCATTCAAGATGGAACTGATTCCTGCTCTTGAACGTACACTGCAAGGAAAAGTCAAACCATGTATGTCTTCGAATCCAAAGTCTGACCACGAGTGGACAATGGACCGACGGGCTAACATACCAATTAATAGTATTGACAAAATGCTCCCTGGCAGCCATCATGGCATCTCAACCTATCAACCCAAGAACCAACAATCCCTACCGCCCAATGTACCTCCCTCCACCCACGATCCTCCCATTGCGACACTGCTCGCACAACGAAGACTCAACACCTATTGACGAAGTGGAATGCTTGCTTTCATTACTGTCACCTTCCAAGGAAGTCAAGCGGAATAAAGAGCACTATACTCTTGCTACTGCAGACCCTCCTGCCCCCGACAAGGCCGACTCTGGTGATGGAAAGAAGAGAAAGCGAGGTGATGACCAGGCACGGGATGCGCTGCGACGGGCTCAGAAGTTGCGTATTGGGGCCCGATCTATCCCCGGTGTACCGATTGTTTACGTGAAACGGTCCGTCATGATTCTCGAACCAATGAGCACGCCATCCGAAGAAGTACGAGACGGGATTGAAAACAGCAAATTCCGGGCAGGGTTGAATGATGAAGCAGTTTTAGGCAAGAGAAAGCGGACCGAGGACGGTGAGGAGAAGAAGAAGAAGAAGAAGAGTGGGCCGAAGAAGGCCAGAGGGCCTAATCCCTTGAGTGTGAAGAAACCCAAGAAGAAAACAGCAGAAACGGCTAGTGGACCGAAACAAGAGAAGCGGAAGGAACAGAAATCAGACGAGGCGCCGGACAGGACAAATGATGAAGGCGAATCAAGCGCACCCAAACCGAAGAGAAGACGGCGCCACCATAAGAGTTTCAAGGGGGATGGAAATGATGACTACGCCGGTGAGCCCTCAAACGGGGCGGAGGCTGGAACGGTTCCGAACGAATAATTGTCTGTAGATTTATATTCATTGGTAAGGCGTTTGGTTGGCTAGTGCACTAAAAAGTACCGTCTTCAAGCTATGTATATTCTGAATTTAGACAATGTGATATCCATCAATCTCATTGACATGTAGACATGACTCGTCCAGGCTATATATACAGGTAACTCAAAAGATGAGAAGAGAGAATAAGACCATAAACGCCGCCTAGCACCAAACCAAGACAACAACTCCACCATGCAAAACAACCCCCATCCACCTTCCCAATCGTCAACCTCCAACTCGTCGGCAAAGCCCCTATTGCTGCTTCGACTCCCCATTGAGCGACATACCCTGCTCGAGAGCCCTTTCCTCGGCCCAGATCTTCTCGATCCGCTTCCGATTATCCCGAGCCTGGTCCCGATTCTTCTTTGCGCGCTGATACCGTTCCTCAGCGAGGCACTTATTGACGTCGCGCTTGATATCGTTGCAGTTGCCCAGGGCTTTGTGAAGGAATCCGCGGGCGTGACATTCGTCCAGAGCGGTCATGATCTCTTCGCAGTCTGTTGATACTCCGTTAGTTTACTGTCATTTTTCAGGATGGCGGGTTAACGTACTCGCATTGTAGGGGGTGTGTAGGTGGGAATGCATTTTGCGTATAGATATGTGGATTGAGTAGAACCGTGATTGATTGCGACAGTCAAAGTACTTATTTCAACAGTTTTGAACCTGTCTTCGAATAGTAAGGTAGTCTCGGCCTTTGAGAAATCTCCGAAGGCGATGCCGAGCGGTGAGAGCCGGAGAGGGGATTCTGCCGGGCGGGGAGGATAGTCAACCACAAAAAAAGTCAAAGCGAGAGAAAAAGTCTGGTAATGCATCTGACATCTATCGTTAGGTAGAAAGCGACATAGCCTTTGGGGTAAAGTATTTTCAATTATCGATTTGAAAGCTGCAATTTACTAGTCAGCTGCTGCGAGGTTTTTATCTGGACGTGCCTCAGGACTTATACCTGACTGGCTCACCAGTCATTGCGTATACCAAACACCACGGAAAACAAAATTTACTGAGGGAAACACTTCACGATGTCTTCTATGATTACTACGACCGCTTGGGTGCGGCGGGGAGTCGCTGCCCAGTTCCCCACCAAATATGAGATTGACGAGGAGGAGATGGACCGGATATCCAAGCTCGCTCGGATGCAGCTCGAAGAAGCACAGGGCGATCTGGACGCTGCCAGGGCAGGAAAGGACCAGGACGGCGAGACGATGGAGGAGGATCATAAGGAGGAAGCCCAAGACGCAATGGAGGACGATTCCGAGGAAAAGAAGTTCAAGACAAGTTTCAATGAGTAGGTGCTAATCTTGATTGTCACGATTCTAATATCGGCACGACTAACTCTAAATCTCGCTTTGTTTAGTGACGATGATTTGAAAGAATACGACCTAGATCACTACGACAGCGATGAGGTTGACGAGGAAGGAGAGAAGATTACCATGTTCGGAAACGTCAAGTCGCTGGCGTACCACCAGCCCAACGAGGAAGATCCATACCTTGTGATGCCGGAAGAAGAAGAGGACGAGGAGAGAGAGGAGCTGCAGATCCTTCCCACCGACAACTTGCTTCTTGCAGGTAAGGTCGAGGATGAGGTGGCCCACCTTGAAGTCTACGTCTACGAGGACCAGGAGGCGAACCTTTACGTACACCACGACATTATGCTGCCCGCCATCCCTCTGTGCGTTGAATGGCTGGATTTCCCTGTTGGCGCAAACACGGGCGACCGGACTACCGGCAATTTCGTGGCTGTAGGAACCATGGAGCCCGACATTGAGGTCTGGGATCTGGACATTGTCGATTGCATGTACCCGAACGCCATCCTGGGTCAGGGCGGTGCGGAGCTCGAAGGTGACATGAAGAAGGCTAAGAAGACCAAGAAGAAGACCAAGGCGAATGATGAGTTTCACGTCGACTCCGTCCTCGCCTTGGCTGCAAACCGCCAACACCGCAATTTGCTCGCATCTGCCTCTGCTGATCGTACAGTAAAACTGTGGGACCTCAACACCACCAAGTGCGCCAAATCTTACACACATCATACAGACAAGGTGTGCTCGCTGGACTGGCACCCTAAGGAAGCCACCGTTCTGCTCACCGGTAGTTACGATCGTACCGTGGTGGCGGCTGACATGAGAGCTCCCGACGCGAAAGCACGGTGGGGAGTGGATGCCGACGTCGAGAACGTGCGCTGGGATATTCACGACCCGAACTTCTTCTATGTCACCACAGATGCCGGTATGGTCTACCGGTACGATGTGCGAAACATCCCTGCAACACCAAAGGAATCGAAACCGGTCTGGACCCTGCAGGCGCACGACACCTCGGTGTCATCCTTTGACATCAACCCGGCCATTCCTGGCTTCCTCGTCACTGGGTCAACGGACAAGCAAGTCAAGCTGTGGAACGTCGAGAACGACAGGCCTAGCATGGTCGTCTCGCGTAAGATGGACGTTGGTAAGGTGTTTTCGACCACCTTCGCTCCCGACAACGAGGTTGGCTTCCGGCTGGCGGTGGCTGGCAGCAAGGGAACGGTCCAGATCTGGGACACCTCGACCAACGGGGCCGTTCGTAGAGCTTTCGTGTCGCGCATGCCCGCCCTTGAAGGTGAGGTCAAAGAACGAACTATCGGATTGCCAGCCGACGATGATGAATCAGACGACGATGCCGCAGGGGAGGAGATCGGTGCTCAACAAGGCGGAGATGGCTGGGAATCGATGGACGAGGACTAGAGGGCATGACAGAAATGGGTAATGCTATTTTTGGAAGACAAAAGTTATATTATGGGTACTCAAGCATGGAATGATTTGCTTTTCTTATGTTGACACAGCCCGACACCTTTGTTTATAACATATTCAAGATACCCGGTCGAACGCATTGACCGATCTGATTGTAATTCTGAAGCAAGCTACAGTTCTCGCAATACCCTCATAAGACTGGCTGGGGTGTAGGGCACCCATCCACGAGCCTTCTGCACTAGATTCGTAATCTCTCTTTGTTGTGATGTCAAAAATCGAGAATTTTGGCATCTCATATCCTCGATGGTCTAACGGTCATGATTTCCGCTTGTCACTCATAGAGAACGAGCGCGGGAGACCAGGGCGACTCCCTGTCGGGGAGAATCTTTTTGTTTTTCTTTCTATTCCATCTGCTAGCATTAGAAGTGAAATGATCAGATGCACTGTTTTAATATCCAATCCCCTTTCACTCAATGTCTGACCAGCTTGCAGCTTCGCTCGAGACGATATGCCTCGAGTTCGTATCCGTTCAGTAATATAACCTTAATGCATATTGGATAGCTACTCCTCTGACAATCCGTCTACAGCCAGTTTAATGCCGCCCCCGTCAGATCTTCTATGAGCAACATTATTCGAAAATGTGAAATGCCTCGACACCTGGACAGTTGACTAGGCTTAGGCGGATTCTGGTCTGAACCCTTTCCGTTGCTACTAGTTATAGGGATGTGCTCTCTGTCGCGTCACATTTGACTTCCATATCTGTCCAGGAGAAGCGAACAGCGCCATGAGACATGGTTCGAAATGCCCGGCTTGCTCAGGGGATTACGATCTCATACTTCATGGGGAGGGTCTGCGGTGTATCTATCCGAGATTCTACTATGAAATGCTGCTATCGGATGCCTCGAGTCTCGATTACCTCCAAGTGCTCCATGGCTAGGACAAGATATTCTACATATTTTTCGGGACACGTCCAGATAACGGTTAGTTATACACAGTGGCGGAACCACATATTTCGACCTATACATTGGCCGAGTGCGAAAGTTGACCGTCAAGGGTAGCCAGTAACCAGCGTGTTGCTTAGTTACATCTATATTATCCAGCCCATGAAAAAAGGAAGCGACAACATGGCATAGAATCTGCTGACGGGACCAATGTAGTAACATAACAGTACAAAAAATATCTCCCCGACAGGGAGTCGAACCCTGGTCTCCCGCGCTCGTTCTCTATTGAGTGACAAGCGGAAATCATGACCGTTAGACCATCGAGGATATTTGTTGAGCGGATGTCCAAATTTTGGTTCTATGAACTAATTACCCTAATTTACCAGAGGACATGGTACTTCCGGCTGGCCTTAAGCAAGAAGCGCATATTTCAATGCCTATGGTTCAGCATTTCCGAGCCGGAGACTCGTTGAAATGGGGTGCTCGGATATCAACAGAGTACTGTATCATGGCTCGATGGATTGTTCAGCCCAGTGTGTCAACAGCATTCGAGCATACCATGATTAACAATTGTAAGGAGGTGTTCAAAAATAACACCAAAAGGCAAAAAGGGGACAGTCAGAGAGATTGGAGGTTGAAATATGATACAGTTAAACAGTAACTTATGCACAGTGCAATTACGTCAGACGCCAAGGCAATCGACCGTTGAGGTATCACGAATCTATCATTCATTTCATTAAAGGGTATCAAAGCTCAAAGCACTGCGATAGCATCTGGGGGCATTAGATCGAAATATCCGAGGCCTCGTAGCGTGAGAAAGAATGGCCGGTTGGAGCTCCGTTAGTCGACCTCAACGTGTATCCAATCTGGGGAGTGGATAAACAACTTGGGCGTTTGAACGTTTCCGGGTATCGAACATGAATAATCATAATGGAGGTGGAGCCAAGTTGGCCGTCGGACCCGAGCGCAGGATGTGACCCGTTGATGAGGGTCCCTCCTATGGGACTGACCTCCTTGGAGAAGCTCAAAGTCACAATCGTGACCGGAAGGCGGAGTTTGGGCCAGGTAGCTGAATGTTGAACGAATCTCCGAAAGGGTTGTCTCATCGCCCTCTCTTCTTACAGGCACCGACGACAACGCTAATGTCATCCATCTTCCCTAGATTATTGTCAATAACATGGAACGTGACAGCAGGGCTAACGAAACCTACCCCCTTCGATGGCCAAGCCCTCCTCGATAGCCTTCTCCATATATGGGCTCTCTGCAAATGGATCCTGAGCGATAGCCAGCGCAGCTTTGAGCAGCTCTCTGGCTACGAATACCATACGTTCATCTGACAGGTGGGCCGGGGGCGCCCAGTCGAGATCCTTCTCTTCGAAACGCCCTTCGTCCCATTTCTTGAGGCTCTCGAGCGTGATCGTCAAGACCTCATGTTCCCAAAGATTATCGAGAACTCCATCAGACACGGCCAGCACGAGGTCATCCTCCTCAAGCTGAACCTCGGAAAGAACTGCATCCTTCCGCGGAGTATCCACACTATTTGTACCTAGTTGCATAGGACAGTCGAACCAGTGCCATTGTTCGGCAGTTCGAAACAGGACCTTCTCCTCGCTCGGACGTATAACAAGTACTTTGCAATCTCCCAAGTTGGTCACGTAGAGTAAGGGCTTTGCATTTTCCGCATTGTCACCGGTGAAGTGTAAAAGCGCCGTCACCGTCGTTGTGGTGCCCAGCCATTCATTCGGTGAGGTCGTCGCGCGAATCGTCTCCTCGTAGGCTCGTTGTAGGTACTCGACCGGATCTAGTTTTGAGGTTTTGTCGACTTCTCGCTCGGCCTCCAGGGCCCAGAAGTGAAGTAATAGTCGAGACCAAAGCCTGGTTTAATTGAGGATGGTATCAGCGATGAAATCTCAAGTGGCACAGACAGGAGGCTGATGTCGTGCACTCACGCAGCATGACCCCGTTCTCTCGTAGCCCACGCTCCCACGCCATCGTTCACCCCGATGAAATTGTCTGCAACAAGCACTGCATCGTCACCGTTGTTCAGCCCGCGGACCAGTTCACCCCCGACGGATAATCTCTTATCCTGACTCTGGTAGTGGGTAGTCAAGGGGTCGGAGAAGGACGACGACGGCGGAGACAGGAACGGCGGGGGGAACGGGCGCGACGGCCGTTTGGCGCACAGAGCGTAGCCCGTCTGGAAGCAGAATGGAGACTTTGAATGTGGGTAACGATCGGGAACCGGGGTAGTGATGCCGTAGGAAGGCCAGACGGCGGCTCGATACTGCCGCACAGGCGTGCTGGGTCGGATTAGCCTCCTTGAGCTTGTTGTACGCGCTGCGGTCCACTGTGGGCTGCGTATCATCAATAATATCGTGGTAACTATATCCTGAGTCACCATGCCCGCGTGAAATAAGTTGTGCACTCTCTCAGCGCACTGAGATTGCCTCGCGGTTGGGGGGAAGTGCTTCCTTCTCTCTTTTCCGTTATCGCTGGTCCAAAACCACGGTGAGATTAGAGTTGGTAAGGCGGATGGAGATGGCTGGCTCACTATGGCTTGAGCGCAGCCAAACACCCATAAGAGACAATGATTACAGCAATATGTAGCAGAACTTGCTCCGAGAGCCAGTCATCGCCGAGTTTGATTGCATGGATTTCGTATTTGACCAATACGATAGATACATGACCTTCGCCTCCGATTTGCCCCTTGAAGCCCCCAGTCATCCATCCTTGCAAGTGGCCTTCATCGCGTCAAGAGAAAATAAAAGAAAAAAAGGAGAAACAGAAAGAACGACCTGCCAGCTCAACTGGAGTTGCCATGTTACTCAGGACTTTCAAACGAGTCGATTGCCCGTGGCAGCGGTCTGGCGCTGCTTGCCTACCACTGCTTCGAAGAGCTGCATTGCGCGGTGCAGCTCCGCTACGAGCTCATAGTGAGCAACTTCGCGACTGACCATTGCCAGCCCTTCAAAGAAGGCTCTGGCCAAACTGCCGCATCTGGGGCCGAAGTCCTGCTCGCCCGCAGCCTCGTGGCGCTTGGCCAGCACGATGCGCAGGATGCGCTCAGAGCAGGGGCAGGGCAGCAAGACATCCATTGTGCAGTCAGTCGCGCAACTGCAAGATGAACGGCAGATGCACTTCTTCTCTTTGACGAAATCAAGAAGGCGACGTCTGCCGTCATCGCGTCTGATGTCTCCGACGCTCCTGCCCTCGAGCTTCGCCAGGGTCGCCTGACGGTTATCAAGGACGTTCTCGCGCTGCCAAATTTCTAGCTGAATTGAGTCGCGGTTGACGAACGGAAGTTCAGTCGCCGGGAAGTCATCGGTAGCCGTCACCTTTGGCATGATAGTCAGGTACTTCTCCGACATCACGGTGATAGTTTCGACGCCCGGCATCTGATACAGGTAAACGAGGCCTCTCCACTTCAGAACGAAAGGATGAGTCTCCTCGGAGACAATCTTCAAGATGGAGGTACGATAACCGATAAGATCGTGCGCAGAGAAGCCAGTGATGGCAAGCTTGTCGGTAGCATGGCGAATGATTGAGTCCTGGTGCTGCTTAACAAGGTCGTAATCAAGGCCACTGCAAACTTCCGGGGCATCCAGGACGTCTTTGAATGTTATGAATATGTCGCGGAGATGACCAGTTTCAGGAAGGGTGAACGTTTCCTTAATGAGCATGCGGCGCAGGTTAAGGTCGAAGTGACCACAGAGCTCAACGTTGGCAATCTCCATAACCAGTCTCGCATACAGAGAATAATAAAACTTTTCGGTGCCCTCGATGAGTTCAGCAAGAGAATCTGTATTCACAACAGCTTCTGCGTCCTTGAGGCGAGCCAAAATACCTCCAGGGGCGTCGTCTAACTGTGGGGAGGGAAAGCCACTCATCAGTTTCCTGTGCTGATCTACAAAGTTTACTGGAAGGTCTCAGGGCTTATCCTGCTTACCTCCACGCCATACATCCTGAGTGCCCAAGCAAGGATTTTGGCAATGGTGTAAACCTTCGAGAAGACGCTGATGACACTGCCAAATTTGTCTGCAGCTGCCCTGCCGTAAGGATTGTCGAGAAGCTGTTCACGGGCAGCGAAAGAGTGCCATTCAGACGAGCCGATGGTATAAGGAAGAGTCGGGGTTTCGATGGGTGGCATCTGCTGACTTTCTGTCAGTTTCTTTTCCCTAACTCTGTTTGGCAAACTGCCTGCTAAGGATGTCGAGTCCACTTACAGCAGAAGCGTAAGAAGCTTCAGTACTGTCTGAACCATGCATGTAAGAAACTCCGGCACTGCCTGAAGTACGCATGTAAGTAATTTCGGCACTGCCTGAAGTACGCATGTAAAAAACTTCGGAACTGTCTGAAGCACGCATCGTGCGAGACTCGAATCTTTCTTTTTTCTCTTCGAGCATCTCTTGAGAGTACTTGTATCTTTCTTTTTTCTCTTCAAGCATCTCTTGAGAGTACTTGTAGAAGCCGTCCTTGTGTTCGCCGATTTCGAAATCGTCATCCAAAGCAGGTTGTTTGCCCTTCGACTCAGACGAGCGTCTGCGGAATACCTTCTGCAAGGCAGTCTGCCAGGAGTGAGAGCTAGAGCTTGATCTACGCATGGTTGGTAGAGATCACTGCGTTGTTTATGAATTGCGGGTCAGCAGTCAAGCCGCGTGGTTGAGCACTGAGAAAAGTGCGGCTGGGTATGTGGTGAGAACTGGACAGGGAAGGTGAGTGATTCTAGGTGTTGATGTGTTGAGCGTTGTGCTTTGCTTCTGGTTAGTGAATGTTGTCCCTGAGGACCTGGTGCACAGATACCACTTCACTGTGAAAGACATGGCCGAGTATCTATAACTATCGTCAGAGATGATCATAAAAAGGCTTCTTACATCAGACATCCCTAAAGGAGCCACTCATCAAGCTACTGAGTATAAACAGTTATGATATTGGTTCAGAGTGAAGCGGAGGAATCAATATGTGAGAACACTGTTGCCCACTGAGTCTTGCATAGCTTCTGCTGACCAAAAATCTTGTGAGACATATACCTGACATCAATCTAATTACTTTTCTGGTAGTGATAAGGAGACTATAAGGCTACAAGAACAGCCAGGGCAGATATCAGCTGTATGGTTGCCGTATAGGATAAAATAGACAGGACCATACTGTGATTCATGGGGCAGAGAAAGATGAACAATGCACAGAAGAGCATCGTGGTCTATTAACAACAGATGATAATTTCATACATGAGCTATGAAAGAAGAGGATCAACTTCGATAGCTGAATTCTGTGTAACAAAGGCATACGGCAGAATGACTTCTGCTATCTTCCAGATGGCTTTATTAGCCCTGTCGACATACTCGGACGATATACATGCACACTCCCTGAAAGAAAGAGACTGGAGGGAAGAATTGTTAGCTTGTGGCCGGAGTTGCGAGAAGAAGGACCAACTACTGGAAAGGGTGTGGCCTCGAGTGAGAAACTTACTTGCAAGTTTGACAGATTTCTGACCCATTCAAAGCCCTCATCACAGGAGCTGTCTGGCAACTGCTTACCTTTTTGCTCATCTATTGGATGGCTTAGTAAACGGTGACAATTCTCCAACCAGAGAACTTCGAGCTTCGCACCAGGTGCCAGTCTCTGCCCTTGTATCGCTGCATCGTCTTTTCCCTTTTGAACGCCTCCAAGCCAATTCAAAAACTCCGGCTGGGCACCACGGCAGGTCCTCAGCTTCAAGACTCTCAGCCTAGGATTCTTCCCCACAAGCATCGCCAACTGCCATGGCGTGATGCCTGATCGTTCCAATATCAGAGTATCAAGGCCGGTGATCCCTATGTCCTTGGGGTTCCCTATGCCCGCGAGTAAGTTCCAAGCAGTGCTACCCGGCGCAGGATAATACCAAGCGGTTGGCCTCATCGGCCCGTCGCGGATGTGTGGATGCTCGAAACGCAGTGCCAGATAGCGCAGCGCGTGTCTACATCTGTTCCCGAGCGCTTTTGCTCCATCGACATCAAGATCGTAGGCCATGAACTCAAGCTTGACCAACGAAGGCCCGTATCGATCCATCAGTCGCGCGAGAACTTTGTTCTGTGCTTGTACCGTCTGCTCCTGAGCGTCTTGTGGGCTTATGTCCTGCTTTCTTTGCAGCTTGCATTTAGCATGTGGCTTTCCGTCCAATCCTTGCTTTGCATAGATGCCTGGTTGGATCACGGAAATTGTATAGTCACTCCTCGAACCATCGTTCTCATGAGACGAAGAAAGTTGATCGGGTGTAGCCCAGCCTGCCTGAAGTAGAGAGATCATGGAATGGACTCGCTTTTCGAACACTCCGACTCGAAGACGTCTCAGGCAAAGGGCGTGAGACTTGAAATTCGCGCGAGATGTTCCTCCAAAGGCGAGGAGAGACTCAAAAGGTAGGTACGCCAGGATGGAGAGAAGTACCTCTAATGGTAGGAGACTGATCTTGTCCGACATATTGAACCAGAGTATTCTCGACGCCGTCAACTAACACTGCTTGCAATTCCTGAACTCGTCGCCGTCCCACGTCTAACCCGGTTTCGTTGTTTGTTCCTTCAGCAGAAGCAATATAGTGGCAACGGCTGAAGCACAGAATGATTGCTCCAAGAAATGTTGGTTAGGCGTAAAGACGAGGAGCATCTATTGCCTATGTACACAATGTGATGTTCAGCATACGGTTGTTGAACAAACTGAGGATTTCAAGATCAATATGTTGTTCAAAAAAAAAAAAAAAAAGAAAGAAAGAAAGAGAAAAGATGATGCCTCAATCAAAAATCAAACAAAAATGCCTTCGACTTCATGTAGACGTCTGGCTTACCTAGAGGAGCCTGATCTTAGTGCTCGACGCGGTATAGTGGAAGCGATGCGAGTGAAGGCCTTGGTAAAGCTCCTGCGTTTCTATCTTTGGCGTATTATCATGGCACAGATGATGATGGCTTGTGAGGTATTTTCACTGAGCCGAGTGAGCAAAATTTGGGAATTTGTTCAGTATTGTAAGTGACCAAAAGTTGAACCTCCAAGCTGTATCAATGTGCACTGCTCCTGTTTATTGCAACTCAACTACAGCAGGAACTTTCCAACCTTCTCACTCAATCACCCCTTTCATTTCTCTGGAGTAATACGGTTCTCCTGCCTTGTTCTTCTCCATCAATATTCAATCCTGATGATATATTCTCCGAGGAATCCTTGACTTTGAGGTTGTCCAGGAATGTGCCAAATAAGACAAAGAATGATGACAGTCTGTATAAGGCAACAACGGAACAATGTGCCTTAGGCGAGGCAACCAAGGCCATGCAAGTTGGCATCAATCTTGATAGACGCTTCAATTTTGGAACTCTCTCTCGCTTATATATGGGATTATGTGGCAGTTGGCAGCACACCATGGTCGCGCTTCAACCGGCTACGTATTTTTCCACATGGAAAGGGATGTATAGTGCGGAAAACAGGAGAACAAAGCAGACAATAACAACGATGCTGTTGTATGACCGTCTGGCATAACACTGCACACGCTGTTTAGACCTAGGATAAGCATGTGGGTGCTTACAGACCCCTTGCAATAAGTTATCAAAGAGAATGCAAGAGCAAACAATGACTGTCAACTTGGCCGAATAGAATTGAGTGTAAGCACCTGGATCCTGTGTTCCATGTTTATTCTGGATTTCATTTTCCTAAAAAAACCATCCCCGGGACCTGGTTCTATGCTTTTGATTCTGCCACGAAGTCTAAAGCCCAAGTAGGGCAAGCCATTTGCTGCGCAGAAATGCGGCACAGCGATCAACGCTTAGCACGCTAACTGGAATTGTGGTTAGAGTTACTAGAAAGGCAACAAAGAACACACAAGCGTGGTCAGCCTTCCCCAACGGACAAATCGCTCAGTATTGGTTGTGGGTTGTGACAGATATCTGAATCATGCATAGCCCTTTTGTGTTCTTCCGTCAATCGTCGACACGGATCCGATCATCTGCTCCATGGGCATACCAATGATATCAAGGGACCGGATTCAAACTGCATGCCCGGTGCGACTCCGACCCAGGCTGTCGGCTCCATATACCCAATCGAAACACTAGCATCCTGCGGCTTGGTCGGCGACGCGACCAAGGGGATTTTAGTCGTCATTGGGATATTCACAGTGCCCAGATCAAATGACTACAGCTGCCAGGGTTCCCTAGACTACTGCCTGACATCCGCTAGTCTACTGGTCGCAAATCGCAATTGAGTAACTTGGCAGTAAATCAGGCATCTGCTAGTTGAATTCACCAAGTCTGTTGCTCTTTCTTGGTGGTGCTTGATTGAGCAGTTTTTGGTATCGTCGCTGCCGAATGATTCTGCCGTGCCAGTGCCATACTCTGAGGGATACTCCCTGCAATAAGAACGTTGTCACACGTGTTGGCTGTGATTCGCAAAGGGGGAAAAAGCAATTACACCCGAAACCACGGCAAGAATGCGTCCAAATCCTCTGAGACACGTCAAATCGTCGTCAGACACCCCCTTGCCTCTTGTTGAAACGGCCAAATAATCGTACGATAAGGTGCTCTTTGTAACTAGTGAAATTGTATGTGCACTTTCCCTGTTCAGCTTCAAATGCTTCGTACTGCCTTCGAGCCGTAATATACAACAAGAAACACGATTGACCGCTCTATCCATGAACCCTGAACGTACGACCGCTAGCCGTCTTTCGCTCCCGCTCCTCGTTTTCAGGTCGAGCTCTGTTGAGGACTGTTATTGTTAGCAACGAACTAGGCCGCGGTATCCATTGCGACTCACCTTGGAGGAAGTCTGCTGTCCTCTTACGCATTCTAGTGTGAATATATGCCTATACAGAGTCAGTGCATTGGAGAAGGGAAACAATGACATCATTGAAGCCTACCTTGGACGCCTTGATGTGGTAATGGAAATAGTCACGGAAGGTTTGGATGTGAGAGATATTTTCGTAGCGTCGCTGAGGAGTCAGGTGTCGAGGGAAAAGGACTATGAGCTGTCAGTCAAGGCTCGCGACATAGGCCGTTAACGAGATTTGCTTACCGAAAGTGACATAACTCATTTTACCGTCCCCAGCTGTCTGCAGACCAGGGACCCCCTGAAGCTCCAGCGGAGGGTCGCTGCGGAAGAGCACTTGGGGCGCATTCTGCAACGTCACCACACGTCTTCTCGCATCGACAAACTCCTGTAAGAAGACTTTGCCAAAGATACGATCCGTCTCTTCGCGGAAAACAGTGCTAAAGATCACTGTGACCCGGTCATGACTGGCCTTGATGTAGATTGCTTCCTCTTCCCGGTAATGAATTGCCATCAACTCCCCACCTTCCTTGATCCCCTGGGGTGCGGACTCCGACGTGTATCTAGATGCCTCCTCTGACAGCTTCGCGAATTCGTCGAATGCCCTTTCGAACGGAGCAGCCATGGCGTTACGCTTCAGCAATGCAAGCCGCATGATGAGCTCGTCCCGAGCTTCCTGCTCTGCGGGCAGGTTCTCCAAGTCAATCTGTACCGAAAAGTCATAGCCAGGCTCTGGTGTAACGATGTAGGGACCATATTCTCTTTCCAGTACCTCTTGGGCACCGTATTGAACCAGCTCTTTGAAGCATTTCACGTGGATGGAGATAAG